TGGGGAGGATGCGTGAGCCTCAGGGCTGGGCAGGGCACAGTGGGAAGGGGGCAGGGGTGGCAGTGGCCCTGCAGGGACACCCCTCGTGGCGTGCCAGGGAAGAGCAGTAGCTACTTGCTCTAGAGCTGGTCTGTTCCTCCCCGGAGCGGACTGGACAAGGCCCCATGTCCACCCTGGCCTTGGCGAGAGGGAGGCATCAGGGCTGTGTCCTTACTTTGTATCGTCTGTCACCTCCACCTCGGTGGGGGCTGTGATGGGGGCATTCGAATGTCCTGCCGTCGGGTCATCCGTGTTCAGCTCTCCGTTGGTGGAGCTCATCACCTGGGGAGAGATGAGCATCAGCGCAGGGCAGCCCATGGCACACGGGCCGGTCCTTAGCCTTGTCCCCTGCCCTGTGGCAGCTGCGTCCCAGAGAGGTGCAGCCCCAGGAGGTGGCACGGCCCCCCCAGCCCTGCGTGAGCCGGGAGCACCACGGTCCCCATGCAGGGCAGCAGGATGGTGCCCTTGCCCAGACAGCAGTGCTCGGCCTCAGTGCTGAGCGCTCCCAAGCAGCAGCACCGCACAGAGGGTTTGATCCCCTCAGTGTCTCTGGGAGGATCCCAGCTCCCAGGAACCCCTGCACACCCGGCCGGGCGAGGGGCTTGCTGGCAGCCAGCTCCAGTGTGCCCAGGAGACACGGCCCCACAAAGCTGTTTGCTCCAAGGAGACCTCGCCATGTCCGACCAACCAGACACAGCTCTTGCTCCCCAGCCCCGAGCCACAACACATCCAGGCCCTGCAGTACTCAGCCCAGCACCCACGCCGCAGCTCCTGCTGGCCTCGAGGTGCCCCCAGCTCCTGCCCGCTCACCGGGACAGCGGAACCATGTGTGGTGCCAGGCAGGAAGGAGATCCAAGTCACCAAAGCAAGGATGGGGTTGGCATAGGCAACCGAGACTTGCCTGAACCCTGCTCCTGTGCCTGCAGCCTCCAGACAAAGCCAGGAGCTCCCTGGGGATGTGCAGGCCAAAGGATCGCAAAGCTGCTCGTCCCCAGCGAGGAGGCTCGGCCTTACCCAGACTCGTGGAGGAGCTACCGTCCGACAGCCGCAGTGCCCAGCTGGCAGGGCTACATCAAGCTACAGCCCCCCAAAACAAGCCCAGAGACCCCTGTGCGTCCCAACACCCCCTGCAGTGCCGGGCGCAGGCGGAGGACGGGGGGGTGTTTGCAGAGCAAGAGTGGGGAGCAGCCATCATGGCAGGGAGAGGACGTGGCACAGGAGGAGTGGGGCAAAGCGCAAGCCCCATGGTCTGCCCCAGCCCTGCGCTAGCAGCAGTGGGAGCTGGGTCCAAGCCCGGGACAGAGCACCGGCAGAGATTCACCACGAGCAGCAGGAACGAGCAGCAGCGGCGGCGGGGACATAAGCAAAAACAGAGGAAGAAGCACAGGCCCAGCTGGGGGGGACCCACCATGGTCCACCATGGATGTCCCGCCATCCGCGGTGGGCTGGACCCCACCAGCCTGAGGGGGGCCGAGCGGTGAAGAGCAGAAGGCAGCGAGGGCGGCGAGCACGCGGCTGACAGTGCGAGTGCAGGACCAAAGTGGGGAGACGAGGCCGAGGACTGCCCAGGGAAAGGGAGGAGAAGCAGGGCTCGAAGCCCTCGCCCGAGCCAAGGAGGCACAGGGAAGTCCCCACATGGGATAAGGCTGCGTTGTCTGGCACTGCTGGGACGAGCAGCACTGGGGGCAGAGCTCGATGCCCACCTGGCTGCTCCTGCTGCCGCACGGCACTGAGCCTGTGCTTCGTCCATCTCTAACTGTCCTCCGAGTCCCGCTGGCGGTACCAAGGGAGCCCAGCAGCCCCTGGGAAGCAGCGCCAGCCTCATCTGTGAACTGTGAGCATCACCCGCCATGGGGACAAGGCAGCACAGCCCTGGGTCCACGTGTTGCAGCCTAGGCAAGAACCCTGGGCATGCAGTCCCGCTGCCGCCCCAGGGCAGAGGAGCGGGGCTGATCCCCTGGCACGGCCAGCAGACACACGTCAGCCTGCGCCCGGCTGTGTGGGCAGGTTGTGTGGCGCAAGTTGGCTCTGCTCCCTCCCGCAACCGCCCCTGCCCTCGGCGCGTGGTTGCATGTACCTGGACGGACCCCCCGAGCCTGCCGGCTGCCAGGTGAGCTCCCAAAGGCTCCTCGGCAGGCTGCCCACCGGCCTGAGGATCCCACAACTCCGTCCCCTCGGGCGGCTGCTCGCGACAGGCAGGAGGAACAGAATGAAAAGAAACAAAAGGAAAGAAAAGAGGAAGAATGGGGAAGAGAAAGGAGAGGTGGAGGGAAGGGGCACGGAGAACAGTGGCAAAGGGAGTCGAGAAAATAAGACATGCAAAAGCAAAAACATGACCGGAGCAGCTAGAGTTTGTGATTGCGGAGGGCACTCGTGCAGCACCGTCCCTGGGGTGACGCTGTGGGTCTGCATCCTCCCTGCCACGTACACGCACACACTGCCTCCAACAATGGAGCTCAGCTCTTCCCCCGCACCGGGCACATCCTCTCTGCACGCCGCCCTGCGGAGCAAGGCCGGCCCCGCTGAGGCACCGCCACCAGCCGGCCTCCTGCAAGCGCAATGTTCCGAGGCTGATGCGGATCACTGTGGTGCAACTGCGAGGAAGTGAGCTGTGCTGCTCCTCGAGGGCACTGGGCTCCTCAGCTGTCCCACAGCAGGGGAGCACCCTGCTGCCAAACCCTCACCGCAGGGAGCATGGCACAGCCCCATGGCTGCGGGGGACCCCTGCATCCCCAGGTTGGAAACTGCTCCCATGCTGTGGGAGTTTTGTGCTTTGCTTTTCCCACTGCTCTTGAGAAGGGATGTCGAACATGGCATTTCTCAGATGCTGGAGGAAGACAGTAGACCTTACTGGCAGAAAGTTCCCAGGAACGAGCCAGAGGTGCTTTGAAGTTCTTGTCCTCTCCCTACGAAGTGCGGCCCAGCCACCGGCCAGTGACAGCCAGGGCTGTCCCAGGCTCCCTGTGCTCAGCAAGGGGCACCGCTGGGCCGATATATGGGTGAGGGAGGACAGGGTGCTGCACCTTTGGCTTGAGCCGTTTGCAGGTGCTCTGCTCCCTGTGGAGGTTCAAGGCAAGAGGATGAGGGTCTGTACAGGACTGCTGGGGAAACGCGTGAGATTTTGCTCTTGACGGCAGCAGTCCCAAAGCCGTGTTTCCTGCACCAGGGCAGGACAGGCCATGGCACCAGAGGAGGGCCGGGCAGCCCGGCCCCTTTCCCATAGCAACCCAGGCAGGGAGCTGCCTGCACAGCTCTGCATGTCTCCCTGCCCCAGGCTGCTCTCAGTTCAGCCCCCCGTGCCCTGCTCGTTCCCAGGGCAAAGCCAGCCGCTCTCTCCACCATGGGGCCAAATGCTGCCCCACAAACTCCGCTGAGGTCCAGGGATGCCCCACCTTGTCCTGTGTCCCCGTCTCATTGATGAAAGTGGCACCGTGAACACAGCCGCAAGTTACCCCTGTGGGGATGTGGCACTGGGGACATCATCCTTAATGCAAGGTGGCTCAGCCTGTGCCGTGCCCACACCCACCGGCCAGCGCTAAACCCTGCAGCTCGCCGGCTGAAGCCCAGGCCTGGCGCTTCCCCGCCATGCTACAGCCTCCCATGGCTGCTTCCTCACACTTCTGCCAGGCTGCCTGGTCCCAGGGACACTGCCCTGGTCCCTCCGCTGGCCACAGACCCAGAACTGCAGGCAGGAAGCCTTCCCACAGACAACGCTGGGAAAAAAAGGATGCTCCAGTCCCTGCCTCCACCCAGAGGCCCCGCTGGGCTCTGTGAGTCTGTGGAGCAGAAGCCCGAGCTGTGCAAGACCGCGGTCCCGTGCGCCCACAGGGCAGTGCCGCTGCTCACCTGGTGTTTGGTGTGTGGCTGTGCTTTGTCTCTGTTTGGGGGCTGCACCTGCACCTCGCTGTGCATCGTGCCGATGGGGGTGGGCTGGGGACATGACAAGGACAACATCAGCCATGGCACAGCAGCCCTCCTGCCACCCCACAACCCCTGATCCAACCTCTGGCCAAACATGCAAAACACCCCAGAACGGGGGCCTGATCCCAGGCCCTACCCTCACCCTGTCAGCTCCACGGTTGGTGTGTGGCTGCAGTGAGCCCTGGAGGATGCCCCTGGCAGAAAGTGAGGTGCCAACATTACTGCTGGTTTCCCATGAGCTCCAGGAGCCTCAAATTTCTGTGTCAGAGCTTTAACTCATCGGCATGACAGCTCCAGCTTGCAGCTGGCTGCTGGTGTCTGGTGAGGACTGGCGGAGCCGATCTCCTGGGCGCGGATGTGCGTGGAAGGGATGACTGCCCACCTGCACCCTCCCTGGCTACTGCTGCAGAGCATGCCTACTCCCCACCATGCTGCCCACCGCCCCCCGGGTGCCCTGGGGCCCAGCACCCTCTGCCTGCCCCCGCTTCCCTCGCCACTCACCAGTGGTTTCCCTGCCCAGTCGTATTCATAGTCGAACACGTAACCGTTCCTCTCAAACAAGTCTGTGAAGAGCTTCCGCAGGTAATCGTAGTCAGGCTTCTCAAAGAAATCCAGCCTCCGCACGTAGCGCAAGTACGTGGCCATCTCCTCTGTGGGGAACAGAGTGGGCTCAGGTGGGGCAGGGGGATGAGGTGGCAGGGCAGCGGCTCTGGGGACAGGGATAGGCTATGCAGAGTGCCCTCACCTGGGAAGTTCTCACAGAGCACCTCCACCGGAGTGGCTCTTTTGGTGTCGCCGATCTTCTGATACCTCTCCTTTAGCGTGTCAGCCTGGCAGAGACAAAAGCAGGTCAGCATGAGGGCCAGGCATGTCCCTGGGAGCGGGAAAGCACTGGGTATTGTCAGACCATAAATAGTTTCTTGGTCCCCCTTTTCCAGGTAACAGTGAGAGGTCATTCCCAGGGAATGCCCTCACCCAGGGCCGGTCTGGAGGACAAACGCTGGGGAGCGCCATTCCAGGACAGGCACTGTGAGAGCAGCTGGGATACCCGCAAAGCAGGGGCGACACAGCAAGAGAGACAGCTACAGCCACTCAGCACAGCAAGGGCCTGGCACAGAACTCAGAGCAACAGTCCCTGCATCTGGCGGGGTGCCAACCCTCCAACACCCCAGGGGCGAAAGCTTCCACCCCCAACCCTGATGCTGCCCATGCCAGAGCAGAGCCAGACCCACGGGGCAGCCGTGCCCAGGGACAACGGGAGCTGGCAGTTACCTTGAGGCCTTGCCAAGGAAGGCTCCCGCGGAGGAAGTACATAAACATGTGCCCTAATGCTTCCAGGTCGTCCCTGCGGCTTTGTTCTGCATGGAGAGAGAAAGAAAGAGACACGGGCAAGTTTCCACTACAGCCACTCTCCCTGTCCCCCCCCAGGCCCTGCAGCACCCCGAGTCCCCTGGCCAACATCGCAGGCTGAAGAGCAGGAGAGGCAGTTTGTCCCCAGCCCCACCTCTGGCAGGGGGGAGCTCACACCCTGCAGTCCCTTTCCCTCTCTCTTTTGGTCAGGAGGCAGGGCTGGCCGCACAGTGCGCACACACCTTTCCCAAGGTGGGTGTTGATGCTCATGTAGCGTGCTGTCCCTGTCAGGCTCTTGTGCTCTCGGTAGGGGATGTGTTTTTTGGTCTCGGGGTCAATATACTCTTTGGCCAGGCCAAAATCGATGATGTGGATTGTGTGCTGCCGCTTGCTGCCCGGCCGCCCCACCAGGAAGTTCTCTGGCTTGACGTCTCTGTAGATCAGGCTTTTGGTGTGGACATACTCCATCCGTGTGATCTGGGGGCATAAGGAGATGTCAGCACCATGGCAGAGATGTGCTGGACTGCAGCCTCCCTGCACCCTCCTCCCCTGGGCTCAACTCTGCTCCGATTGCCTCAACTCTACCAGCAACCCTGCTCCGCTCAGCCCGTACGTCACCCTGGGTCGGAAGGGCAGGCACAACAGGTCCTCCAGCCCTGGGAACAACCTCAGTCCGGCCGCATCTCGGACACAGAGAGAGAGAGATGCTTATTTGTGCTCAGAAAGGGGCTGTGTGAAGGTGAGGGAGAGCCTTCCTACATCGGGGAGAGGGTGAGGTCTGGGATGTGCCCACAGGCACTGTCTCCTGTGGCCTGCTGGGCACTGGCTCACCCCTCCTTCCCTTCCCTGCGGGGTCCCCAGGCAGCCCGACGGCCATGCCCACACATCGCCCTGCTCCCCCAGGGTGGTCTGTGGCCGGGCGGGCCAGGGTGAGCCGCGCAGAGCCACAGATGAGGCAGACGTGCTGTGCTCACCAGCTGGATCGCGATCATCAGGACGGTCTTGAGCGTGAAGGTCCGATCACACAGATCAAAGAGATCTTCTAGGCTGGGTCCTAGCAGCTCCAACACCATGGCGTTGTACTTCCCGCAGGGGCCAAAGTAGTAAACCTGAGGAATTCCTTCTGCAAGAGACGGAGCAGGGGCTGTCAGGGGTTGCAACAGGGCTGAGCAGCACACGGCCATGCTCTCACAGCCATGCCATTGCTGGAGCCAGGATGGGGGGCTGCAGATGGGGGGCTGCCTCTGCACTGCCCTCCCTCCGTGCTCCAGACAGCCCGGCTCTGCTCTTGGCAGGAGGGTGAAGGAGGCAGCTCCATCTGCATCCCTGACTGTTGCGGGGGAGGTGGGGGGGAAGAACTAAATAAAAAGGGATCAAAGATTAGATGTGGCTCTGTGTAAAATCGGCCTCTCCCAGCTGAGCAGATGGGCAGGAGCTGCTCATGCCGGGGAGTGAATTTGCAGTCACATTTATAGGAAGGCTCCCTTTCCTAGCTGTGTTGCCCGGCCGGCCGGCTCCCCACGGCAGATCAGTCCAGCCCCATACCTGCATTGCCGAGCTGTTTGTAGAACCGATACTCCAGGTGCAGCTGGGGCGCCCGGGATTTTATGGGTTCCTTGGAGGAGAGAAGGAGAACAGTTAAGGCTGTTGTATGGAGCAGAGTGTTAAGGAGATCTGGGTGTCACACACCTCCTTCGTATGCTAGCAGCAAGCTGGACTGAGCGCATTTTGGGTTGAGAAAAACTGGTATAAAATGGAGATGAAGCCTCAGAGGATGAGGAGAAAAAACCAACCCATATAGGAGCCAGATCCAGCCCCTCCAGAGAGATCCAGGTGCTGGGATAGACATTAATGGGAGCAGGTATCAGTGGGGACCACCCTGTCCCAGAGGTTTCTCTGCCACTGCCACTGCCACTGGCTGAGCGCAGCACAGGCTACACAGAGGTCCTGGAGAAGCAAAGACCCAGCTTTTCTCTCCCCAGGCACAGATCACCCCACCTGCAATGGCGCGCGTTGCTTTGCCTGCCCTCAATTCCTAGCAGTGAGCACAGCTCCCCTGCGCAGCCACCCGTCCATCATCTATCGCAACCCACGTAGCTCGACCTGCTCTAACAGCCTGGGGAGGGTGAACAATCTTCCCAGGTGGGCTGACCATCACCGCCATGACCATGGGGGGACTCACCAATTTGATAGCTACGTATTCGTTCGTGTAGAGGTTCTTTCCTGCAGGGAGAGACACAAGAAGGCAACTGAAATCAAGTGAGCCTTTGCATTAACCCACATCACACCCACCGCAGTCCCTGAGGGCTCCTGGGCTGCGGAACGTCAGGAACAGGTTTAGCAGCTCCCACAACACATGAACAGGCCTCGAGGCACGAGCAGGAGCAGGAACCCACCGTGGGGAGTTGCAACACACCAGTTAATTACCCCCAGATGGGGTATGCGGATCCCTCTGGGATGGGCAGGCTGCTGTGGGGCTGGAGCCAAGTTTGCTGGGAGGGGGCAGGGTCCCAGTCCAGGCCTGCAGGGATGTGACTGGTCAAGGCAGGAACAAGGCTGAGACTTGCTGCTTTTCCCAGACACATCCCTGCATGGAGGGGGCCTCCTTGGGGGGCTGAGCCCCGTTCAGGGAGGGCTGTCTGGAGCTGGGTGACGCTGCTTTGTGGGCAGTGGGACCACGCAGAGGGTGGCAGGGAGGTGCAGCATTGGTGCAGCTTGAGGCACTGCAGCGGGCAGTGGTTCAAAGGCACCACAGGTAGGTGGAAATCCCTTCCCCAGGGCTGGGGTCACTCCTGGGGACGGCACACCTGTGTGTGTGTGTGTGTGTGCGCACGTGCGTGTGCGCACGCGCGGCTCCACCTTCGGGACGCTCCCACCCACCCAAGGCTGCAGGGGATGCCAGGAGCAGATCCACGGCACGGTCCAGACTGTACAAGGAGGAGTTGAAGGCACCCATGTGCTGCAGGGAGGGCCAGATGACTGCCTTCAAGTGGCCAGGAGAGTTGCAAGGGCAGCCATGCCACCCCAAAACCCTGTAAATGACTTCCTACAGAGCTCTGCACCTTCACGGCAGTTTTCACACCCATAAGTACAGAACGGGTGAACTAATGGTGTCTGCACATCAACCTGCTCACCCCAGAGAGCCAGGAAGACATGAGGAAGGTGTTACACCTGGGAATTGTCAGGACAACCTCTACCCCAGGTCCATAAGGGCAAAGATTAAAGTGGTTTGCAGAAACATCTGAGTGCCCCTTCTGCCAAAGCCCTTCAGGACACCAGGGAGATGGGAGTTAACCGCAGCAGGTTCCCTTCCATGCACACAGAGCCAGCAGACACGCGATCCCACTGCCTGGCATGTGTGTATCTGATGGAGCTGCATCTGTCTCCTCAGATTTTCTCCAAGCAATTTGCTCAGGGAACAAGCTTGTCCTGGCATAAGATTTCATCTGCTCTGACTGCTGCTCTCCACCTGAAGCAGCAATAAATCCTCACTGGGTGACATCAGAACCAGCTGCTGAGCACCAGAGTCAGCAGCAGGATTAGGGGAAGAAGGATGAATCGGAGATATTAATGGAGTGGCTCCTCCCAGGGACAGGCTCTGCAGCCAAGGAGAGGCTCAATGCTGCTGCCTCACTGACCCTCTCCCATCCCAGGAGACCTCTGCCACGCCACTCTGTCTCCTGCCTCTGCAAAACCAAATCCCTTCACAGCAATTAGGAAGTAGGTTATTTGGGAGGAAGAAATGTCTGGCTAACACAAGCGTATGCCAGACCCAGGGTTTTTGGCCCATTGCGGACTGACATTTCCTGGGGAGGAGGTGGGACATCCCCCAGACCTGTGCACGGCTCCAGACAGCTCGAGGAAACCCTCAGTTCCTTGGGAACTTGACTGGGGCAGGGAAGAACTGAAATCTCAGTGGACCCCAGTGCAGCTCCCTCGCCCCCGCCGTGAGCATTCACCTGCCAATGACTTAACGGGGAGAGAAGGCAGCAAGTCGGCATGGAGGAGAAGCGCGTGCAGGCAGCTTATCATCTTCCATGCACCAGGACCTCTGCGTTTGGCAACCACCGCAAGGGAGAGCAAAACAGCCCCACACGCTGTCTGGGACGCAGGGGCAGGCAGAGGCATGGCCCTGCCTGCAACAACAGCACAGGGTCCCCATGTGCTCCCCAGCTACGATGGGCTCTGGCCTCAAGAGTTGTACAGTTCAGTCCAAAAAATCACTGCTGCTTTTGGGGTGGTAACATGCAACCAAAAAACTCACAGCTGGATTTTCCCTGAGGTCAGGCTGGATCTGAGGAGGGAAAAAGATAACATGGCAGGCTATCTGCCAGAAGGGCACTGCAAAACTGGCCCAGCACAGCAGGGAGGGAGAAGGGAAGGAGGCAGGAGCATCCCCAGCAAGGCTGTGCTTGGAAGGGTCCACTCCATCCCTGTTATGTGGAATCTCTCCTGTCCCCACCATGCTGGCACCCCTGTGGCTCGCTGGCACAGAAAGTTACCTTGCAAAAACACTCTGGGAGCTGGTAGCCCTCTCCCAGCCCAACGAGTCCAAATCATTTGACACCCCCATGGTTCATCCCTTCCGGTAATGCTTGGAGGGCTTGGACAAAGCTGATAAAAAACATGGGGGAGCAGAGAGAACACAGACCATTGCTGCTGTCTTACCACCACCATCCTCTTCCCCTTCCCCGATAAAAAAAAAGGTGCAAAGAGCAGAACCAGCCTATCATGAGGGAAAAAAAAAAAAACCCTACAGGAAAAAAAGAGGCAAAAGAGCCAGGAGAGAGGGCTGTGGGGTCCTTCCCCTTGGCAGGGCCTGGCCCATGCCAGGGAACTCCCCGCTCCAGCTCCTGGGGCAGCTCCCATGGCCACTCCCACGCCACCTTCTCTGCCAAGCACTCACCAATGATAACTTCAACACCTAAAGTGTGCTGGAGTCCATGGACTGCCCTGGGGGAAGACTCAAGCAGGCAGCACTGCAGGATTCATAGAAGAAAAGGCATTTTTGAAAGAAAAAAACAAGAGAAAAGCAGCAAGATGGGTGGCAGAAAGCAAATATTTACATTTGCAGAGAGGCCTTTGCCCTGCTCAGTGCTGGTGGTGCCTCCGAATCCAGCTGCCAGCACCTGCAAGATGTGGCATGTCCGATCAGAGCTGAGCCAAAGCCGCCCCTCGGAGGAGGCGGCCAGACCTGGGGTCCATACTGCGTTTAGAAGCTGGACACGGCTTTCTCTTAACCCTGTGCTAACACCCAAACTGTCCCCCTCCCGAAGGCGGATCTGGCAGCAGCGGGGACCGGCACCTGCTCCTGCACATCACGGCGGCCCGAGGAGCCAGGCTCCGCGCCGGGCTCCTGACCGGGTCCCCATCCAAGTGGCTTCCCTCATGGCCGCCCCTCTATCTGGCACTGCCCCTCGGTTGTGGCAAGGCGCGGGGCACAACACCACGCCCGCCATGCCGGGAGCCTCTGCACTACGGCCTTGCCCGCAGCTGGAGCACGGAGCTGCGCCTGGTGCTGGGACCGGCCACTTGGCTTCTCCAGTCCCCAGGCGCTGCAGCCGAGGAGCGCGGGAGACAGCAGCTCTGTGCGAAGGCAGCCAGACACAGGCCCAGCACCGCAAGCACCACAGCCCCGGCCCCGGCACCACAAGCAGCATCAGTCCAAGCAATGACAGCTCCTTGGAGCACTGGGTTTTAATACCACGGGGAGGGGGGGGGGGGGGGAGGGCGAGTTTTGAGGGTT